GGGGAATTCTGGGAGTTGAAGTCCACACGTCTTCAAGTGGCCAAGGTTGAGAAACACTGCTATACACACTTCCCAATTTAAGCACAGCAGGACTTACTTCTCAGTAAACATGCCCAGTATCAAATTCATCGGATCCTACAGCAGCAGAGGAAATGCTCATTCATCAAATCCTTTGTAAACTCTTTAATCTTTTGTGGAAGGCAGAGCGGTGCCAGTCTTTGCAACTCGGTGAAGAGCTTATGCCTCGCTTTTAGCTCAGGCCCAAACCCATCTTCCTCTTTTTTTCAAAACACTTTCAGACTGCTGCGACTTCGTAATCCCTGGGGCCGCTTCTCTTGGAATGGCAGCTGGTCGGATGAATGGTCCCACTGGCCGCCCCATTTGCGTCACGAGCTGATGCCCCACGGGAGCAGCGAGGGGGTCTTCTGGATGGAGTATAATGACTTCATCAGGTATTTCCAAATGAAGCTGGCTGTGCTCTTGAGTTCCTTGGAGGTTTGGATTTTCAGGCTGTGGGTCTCAAATAAGATCAAAAGGTACAGCTGCCTCCTGAGTCTGCTGCAGCCACTCTGCAGCCTATGAAGGTTATACTTTCTCATTCAATGCCCATTTTAATATTTACTGAACCCAAGGCTGTCATTCTAAAGTTTTTTTTTCTTTTATTGACATGATTTGGGGATGTTAAAGATATATCTTTAAGAAGACCACAATATGTTACAAGGTTGGTTAGATTAAACCACTAATCTTCATAGGTGCTAAAAGGTCATGTTAGAGAGATGATCTCCAGGTGCTTCCATTGCTTTTAGATGAAATAATAGTGGTAAAAATAGCCATGCTTTGTCCTTCTGAGCTCCTGATCAACTCACTGGCTAGTTTAAAGTTATTTCTAATTCTTTGGAATCAGAAATAACAAGGAAAGGAAAGAGGAAAGGAAAGGAAAGGAAAGTTATGGTGCTGTGGTTGAAAGAGTTGGTGCTAGCACCTTCTGTATAGGAAATAGTCTGAATTACTGCCTTATGGGACTGAGTTTGTTGATGAGAGCTGCTTTGGCAACTAATGCAGAGGGGGTAACCTTTTGATACCAGTGGGCTATAGTGAACCTTTCTTGAAGGCCAAAGGCTACAGGGTAGAGCATGCAGAACTATGGCAGGAATCAGGTTTTGCCCCTAAGTGTTTATAGGAAGATATAAAAGAATTCCTTGGTTTTTTAAAAAAGAGAGATTGAGTCTTTTGCAGGACATAAATTGCAGTTTGTGGATGGTTCCTGACACAATGTTTTCAACCATTATGCTTTGAGTGGGCTCTGGTGGAGAGCAGCAAAGAGAGAGAGAGAGGGAGAGACTTGGCAACCACATGTGACTCTGACTGTCCATTCCCTGGGCTAAGAGATGTTGGTTTCTCTTGCTAGGTATTTTGATTCCGTGGACATCTGCAAGCTTCATTCAGACTGGCACGAAGTGCGTGTGCAGGCTGTTTTTCCCAACAAGGCCAATGGGCCCATAACAGTCACATCACTGACGGTGCTGGAGCGAGCGACTTTGGAGTTTGCCCTTTTCCAGGAAGGCAGCAGGTGAGGCTGCAGATCAAGCCAGTTGGGTGAACAATCAAGGCTCTAGCCCATCCAGCTGATTAAACTGCACTTCCTGTTGGTTTCACAGTCAGCCGTGGTGGTTTATAGATCCTAGTTTTGGCTTGTTTCACCCCAGGAGGAGGCAGCCTACCTTGGTCATCCTCCATGGAGCAGGGCTTCTGCTCTTCACCCCATTACCCTAAACCCAGTTCTCTGTACTCCAGCTTGCTCTACTGTGATTAGGAGTAGAATCTAGGATAGATCTATAGAAATGGTGGTGTGAGGGTATCATAGAAAGCTGGCTTGATCTCACTTTTAGCCTATCAAAGAGGATGTCTTCTCAAATTAGTGACCTTGAGATCTATTGGACTGCAATTTCCACAAAGCCCCAGCCAGCATGGAAGTGTGGGAACTGCAGTCTAGCACATTCAGAGAACACCAATTTGGGGAAGGGTGGTCTATGGTATCAATCTTCTTTGCCTAGCGAATTCCAGTTTCTCTTGTCCTACTCCACCCTAATCGTGTAGATCACCATTGCAGGTGAATTTGATTTGGATTCTACTTCATAAACACGTAGAAAGCTGCCTTGAACCCAAGGTCAAGTATACAGTCCATCACACCTCATATGGTCAGCTCTGACCAGCAGCATCTGTCCAGGGTTTCAGGCTGGGTGGTTCCCAGTTCTACCTGCAGGATCCTCTAGATGCAAAAGAAGTGCCATGCCGCTGAGCTGCACCCCTTCCCTCTTGTCCTTTGTCAGACGCTCAGACACAGTGGACAGCCACCTCCTTGACCTTTGCATCATGGTGTTCCGGGCCACCTTCATCAATGGCAGCAAACTAAGCCTGGGACGCCTGATGGCCCACAGCAGGCGAGCAGTCAAGAAGTTTGTCAACTGTGACATCATGCTGGAGCCGGGCGAATACGCTGTGGTGTGCTGTGCCTTCAACCACTGGACTACCCCGGTGCCGGGCACCTCAGGCCCAGGTGACAGCAGTGGGTTGCTTGCTTGTAGGGTAGGACTGAAAGGGAGTAGAAAGATGCCAGAGCTTGAAGGAAAGGCCCTCTTCCATCTTTTCAAGGACTCTCTGTCCAGACGTCAGTGTGAAGTGTCGGTTGTTGAAAAGCAACTGGGGAGTCCAAAGTTCAGTTATTCAGTCAGCCACAGACACTCATGGGAGTCACCTGTCATTGAGATTTTCTCTGTGGGGCTCATCATTGGAGTAGGAAGCCTTTTGCACCTGGAGGCAAAGCAGGACAGAAATCTGACAAATCTGTGTTAATTATTTCCTTACATCTTTAATTCTCCCTTGACATTTACTCTCTTTGGTGAAAAGGAATTTCCACCAAATAGTCAATTAAATGATTCAGTGGTTTACATTTTCCTGAAAAACCTGAGGTTCCTGGTTGCTGAGGAGAGTGCTTGATTCTTTACTTCAGACAGGGAGGGTCTTTGGATCCTACTCCCCTCCATGCATGTCTGGCTCTCAGTAGACCAGTGTTTCTCAACCTTGGCAACTCTAAGATATGTGGACTTCAACTCCAAGAATTCCCCAGCCATCCATGCTGGCTGGGGAATTCTGGCAGCTGAAGTCCACACCTCTTAATGTTGCCAAGGTTGAGAAATACTGCAGTAGAGTGGAGGTCTTACCCTGGAGAAAGAGTCAGCTCTTGTTCTTAAACTAGCTGCAGGGACGCCATTCAAGGAGTATCAGATGGCAGCAGGGTGTAAAGCTTGTCGGGGGACGGTTTCCTATGCAATCCATTGCTGCAGTTGAATCCAGCCTTACTTCTCTATCTTTCCACGTCTCTCAGGATCCAGCCCTACTTCTGGCAGTGAATGCCCAGCCACTGAGGTCTCCAGCTACATCTTGGCAATCTACAGTTCCCGGCTCGTGATGGTAGAACAGATTGAGGCCCAATCGACTACATTGGCCGATGCCATCATTCTCCTCACGGAGAACAAGGGCGAGCGGCATGAGGTAGGTGTTGGTGGCCGTTCTATTGAAAAGATCAGAGTTGACATCTGGATTTTGGTTTGGCAGTTCTTGTTAATGTCATTAAAAAAAAAAAAATTAGGAGGAAGGAGATAAAAATGGTTCTGAGTCCTCAATTCTCTGAGTTTCTGATCATTGAATTCCCTGCTGACCGATCCACCCATTAGTGCAACGAGTGAACCTTGTCCCTACATATATCAGTCTGTTGATATATGACCCATTCAGAGAAACAGGCTGATGACTTTTCTTCCTGGAACAGGGGCGTGAAGGGATGACCTGTTACTACCTGACGCACGGCTGGGCCGGTCTCATTGTTGTGGTGGAGAATCGGCACCCCAAGTCCTATCTCCACGTCCAGTGTGACTGCACAGATAGTTTCAATGTTGTGTCAACCCGGGGCAGCTTGAAAACGCAGGACAGTGTGCCACCATTGCACAGGTGAGAGCCTTGAAATGCAAAATAGTGGTGCAAGGAGATGGCTGGTTGGATGTGCAATCGAATGCTGAAGCAGTGGAACGAAGCAGAACCAAGATCCCTGGTCAGCCTTTTACTTTTTTTCCTGTGTATGTGTGTGTGCCCTCAAGTCAGTACTGACTCCTGGCAACTGCCTAGACTAGTCCCTGCAATTTTCTTGGCAAGGCTTTTCAGATGTGACTTGCCATTGCCTGCCTCCTAGGGCTGAGAGGGAGTGACCATCGCAAGGTCACCCGGCTGGCTTCATGCCTAAAGCAGGTCTAGAACTCATTGTTTCCTGGTTTCTAGCCTGATGCCTTAACCACGACACCAAACTGGCTACTGAAACTGCCCTATTGGCAAGTCCTAATGTCCCATAATAAGACAGTGGAGGAGAAAGGCAGGGCCTGCCCAATAAACAGCAGAGCAGATGCTTAGCTTCACAAGTGTTTGATCCTGGTTTTCTGGGCACCTGCTATTTACTGCCAGAAATATTGTGTTCGTGTCTCCTAGTAGAAACTAAACCTATACAGAACCACTGAAAAACTTGCCTGCCCAACTGATCCTCCGGCTACAAGAGAACATATATTACATCTGCTCTGTTGACATTTGGGAAACAATTATGTTTTCATCCAAAGATTCAGTATGTCTGATGGGACAAGGGGAAATTGGTTAGCATCCTGCTTCCTTCTCCTTCCACAACTCCTGACCCTTAAATTAGGTGATCAGAAGCATCTTGTACACAATGTTCTTTAAAGATTATTTGGAAATTAAGTTTGGCCAAGGATAAATTTGGTTGTCAAACCTTAATTTTCATCCAGTCCATACTGAGACGTATATTTTGTCACATCGATCTTTAGGCATTAAAATCATCAAACAGACCACAAAAATCACCTAATCCAGCCCATTTTAAATTTGAAGCCTTTGAAAAATATGATGCATGATTGAGGAGGCTATGTGTTAACCAGGGGACTAGTTGCCCAACCAAAAACCAGGTTCCTGAATGGTCAGAATGCTTTTCAGGAATAGGGCAATAATATAAATGTGATTAAAATATTCCAAGATCATCAGATCTATTTAGACTGATATGAAGTTCACTTACTTCCTTAAGCTGTTTCTCTTACTCTTTTTAAATGTTGCTCTATGAAAATGAAATTCTCAACCAGCTTCTTGGTGAACTTGCCACTGAGCTACAGTATATCTTTATTTGAATTGTAAAGATTTTTTTTTTAAATAACTGCATTTAATGCAGGGTAAAGGGGTAAAAAGAAATGTCATAAGATTTGGTGAACTCAGATGAAAAGAAAGAATACCTTGATGGGTTGTGGCTTGTTTGTTTTGCCTTCAAATCAGTGTTGGTTCTTAACAACTGCCTGGACAAGTCCTTGCATTTTTCTTGGCAAGATTTTGGAAGTGGTCGGCCCTTGCCTCCTCCTTCCTAGGGCTGAGAGTGACTGCCCAAGGTCCCAGCTGGCTTTGTGCCTAAGGCGGGACTAAATCAGGGTCCCTGGTTTTTAGCCTGATGCCTTAACCACTACACCAAACTGGCTGTCTTTTGTGGTTTACAGGGAGCTTAATCCCTATAAATGCCAAAAATCTCATCTGGGATTTTAGACGAGAACACCACTCTTTTGCACTGTTTGGCGATCCCGCAAGATATTGGCTGAAGCTTTTTTGCAAGCAGTTTAGTGACTTCAGGGGCTGGATTACTAACTTCTTCTGCAGACTCAAGAAACTCTCTCTCTCCTCCCTCTCCCATTCCCCCCTCCCCTTTTGCTCTCCTCCTTCAGGCAGGTCCTGGTGATTTTGTCCCAGCTGGAAGGCAATGCCGGCTTCTCCATCACCCACCGCCTGGCCCACCGCAAAGCCACTCAGGCGTTCCTGAATGACTGGATGTCAACGAAGGGGACGCACAACCCCCTGCTCACCCCCGAGGTGGCAGGACTTCACGGGCCCCGGCCACTATGACAAATGGCCCCACCCATCCCACCCCTCTTCTTCTGCTTTTGCCTTTTTTCTGATCCCGCCTGTCTCGTGCATTGCCCCAGCCGTCTGTACAGAGCCCATCAGAATTAAGGAGGACCGACGAACTGGGGGTTTCAACTAAGCACCTCTCCTCCTGTTCCCTGGGGTTAGGCCGGGAGCTGCTCAGGTCCCCCCCCCCTCTTGAAAGTCCATCTCCCCTTTCCCCCTTCCCCACAGATGATGCACTTTATCCAAACCTGCTGTCAGGATAGGAGAGCAAGGAAATTCTAGAGCCTGGGGAAGGATGCACTCCCAGGTTCTGGCATATTAATGGCCTGAGTGCTGCCAGCTGCTTGGCCCAGGGACATGGCCCTTCCCACAGCCACCCGAAATCCTACGGCTGCAACAATATACCTCTGGCAAATGTGTCTGTCTGTGTGTCTGCCTTCCCTCCTGGTGAATAGTCTCAGCAGCTGCTGCAGCGGGTTGAGGATACAGGAGCTAGATAGGATCCCCTGCTCCGCTGATGGTGAAGGACTGGGTTGCCAAATGGATTTCGTCTCCCTCCTAGCACTGGTTGTCTAGGCACTGAAGGTTCACAGGAGGATGGGGTATGTAAATCCATCTGGGTAGAACCAGCGTGCAGTTGGTTGGTCGCCTAGGGTGAGCAGCGTTTCACGCTAGCCAAGTAGCAGGCTGCCCACGATGAACCAGCTCTCTCCCAATGCAACAGGTGGAAGCAGCAGTTTTTTGGGGGCAGGGAGGGAAGGCCGTGTGGGCCAGTGGTGCATTATTTCTTCAGCCTTTTCCTGGAGGGACTTGCTGCTTCCACCAAATGGAGCCGAGCTGAAGAGGCCGAGCTGGTGGTCTTTGCTTCAGTTCTTGCCCCTGGTCCCCTCAGCGGGACCCCCACCCCCACCCTGGGGTGGAGGAAGAACAGAGGCACACGCAGCCATTTGGGTGGCTGGCCAGCTAACGCTTTATCCACCTGGGAAGAGCAGAAGCTTTTAATTTGTCCTTGTGTCCTTGTGTCCTTGTCAACCCCTTTAGAGGGGTTGAGCCTGTGTGTGTTTGCTGGGGACAGACAGCTGGGGCTGTAACGAAGGAAACGAGCACATGGCACCTCAGCCCTTAGGAAGGGCTGAGAAAGCCATTTCCCCTTGCAAGCCCTCTAGCTGCCTGTTAAGGGGGGGAGCCCTCCCAGTTTCTGTTTCTGGCCCCTCCCCCCCCACCCCAAGAAAGAATAGCCAGAAATCAGCAGTGGAAGGAGAGGAGAACAAGTGAGTGACTGACTTTCCCTCTGTGCCTTCCGTGCTCCCAGGCTTAGCTCTAACTGGGAAGGGACAGGCGAGCCTGCCTGAAAACGTCGAGTGAATTTAGCACTTTTACTTTCCGCCATTCGTCTTTGCAGTTGGATGCTCGGCCTCCCGCAGAGGCCTTAAGAAGCCACGTGGAGAGATTCTTCCATCCTCCCCCCATGACGCCCAGCTGAACCCTGCAAGGGAGAGACTGGGCTTCAAACGGATCTGCCAGAATGTCGGGAGGTATCCAGGAGGTGGCTGAGCATCATCAAGATCTGTGGAGTTCAGACTCGGGAACAGGGTATCCAGGACAGGGTTTCTAGTCCACGTGATGGGTTCAAACCCAGGGAAGCAGGGATAGCGTCTTCCTGCCAGCGCTCTTGATCTTGAGAGAGAGGATCGGAGGAAGTGTATACTCAAAAATTTTGGGGACTCAGCAGTAGCAGATGAGTCTTTCTGTTGTCCTAAAAAGGCCTAAGGAGCCTGGAATTTATGGTCCCCTGTCTAGCTCACTGACTTTTCTTCCCCCTCTGGCCTCTGCCATTTTTTTCTGCCCCTATGCTGATGAAGGCATCTAGAGGAGGGTTTATCTCAGATCTGCTGCAGACAGGAGATAAGCCCCTTTCCTCTCCCCAGCCTCTGTCTAGGCAGAAGATGCCAGAGGGTAGCAAGGGTGGGGCTGGGAGAAGGGGAGGAGTTGTGCCCTGCCATAATCTGGCCAGTTGGCATGTAAAATGACCAAAGGGAAATGAAATTGTCAACATTTGGCCATAGTTGCAGTGGCTGAATCTTCTCTGGAGTCTTTGTCTACCACATGGTGGAGCAACAACACAACAGTCATTGCCAGCCCTGACTATTGGAATCTCCTGCAGAGGAAACACCAGACCAAGCAACCTTTACCTTTGTGGGCTGGTCACAAATGGGACAGAGCCATAGAGAGAGCATTAACTAGTGCCAGTCAGATAAGGAAGAAACGGGTGAGAGTATCTAGGTATCCCTAAGAAGGTGCTGTGCCTGCTCCTCTCTAGAAGTAGCAGCTGTAAATTTGGAACTGGATAGGTTCTCCTACATCATTAAATTTTGTTCTTTGGTGTTGAGTTGATAGATCCCAGTCAATCAGGGAATCCTGTATTCTGTAGAATAAAAGGGATTCTCTGGTCCTCCCCTAAAGCAAGGTATAAATTGATGGAGTGAGCAAATTTTGGCCACACAGATGACAAAGAAAAGGAAGACCTGCCAGTGCAAAGTGGCAGCTCTGTGCCCAGAAAGGTCAACATTTCATGCGTGCTACCTTGTTCTCGCAGTGGCTTTGGGAAAATCTAGTTGAATGGCCTTTGGTGGCAGGCGAACGCTGGCTGTGGAGATGCATTGGGAAAGGATGAAGTGGGCTGATGTTATGAATACCCTTTCTAGGAAATCTGACCAATTGGTTTTGCTCACCTGACTGTCCAAAGGGTCACCGTCAACCTGATCCTTCCGATTTTGACATTCCTTTGGACATTGACAAAGAGAGTTGGTTGAACTGAAGCTTCTAGGCTGCAGGAATGACTTGACCTGGGATTAATACTCTTCTCTCTCCATGGAGAGCTAAACGCAGCCTCCATGTGTTTTAATAGCCATTTTTCCCAGAGAACTTTGAGCGAGGTGGGTGGTAGGAATGTTTAACCATTTCCAATATACATACACACCTTTGCCAAACTTAACATTTCCCAGATTTTTAGGGGGAAGTTACAACAATTAATGCTGGTGTAAAACCAGATTGGTTTGTTGATATGCCATAACTCGAAGGAAGAGGAGGGCTTTGACGTGCAAGAAATATCAGCACAGCATGGAAACCTCCAGGAGGACAGGGTATGGCTGAACTGAGGGCTAATATGGCATTGCCTGGACTTGGGGAATGAAGCAGCAGTGCCAATCTCTTATCATCTTCCTACCTATAACATTTATTCTCCACCCATTCAGGTAGCAACGGAAAGGAAGTTAATTTCCTCTCCCTGTTTGTTTCTTCCACTCTTTTGCCCTTTTTGTGTTGGCTCTGAGTCAACTTCCACCTTGCCTGCCTCCGTTATCCCAGGCCACAGAACGGCCAAACGTCTTTCTTTCTTCCTCAGTCTTTGCTTTGATTCTGTCCAAAAATTATGTCTGCCATTTTTTCCTATTTGAATCTTTTTGGGTGTGTCTTTTTGTTCACTCTCACTGAGCTGTGAATAATTTTTAATCATGTAAATATTGTCTGCCTCTTAAGAAAACATAGGATATTTTATCAATTGTAAATCAAATCTGTAATCAGTCCCTGTATAATATGAATTATCCCATGAGTGGTTTTCAAGCTCAGGTTCCAAAGGACCAAATAATAATTAAAAAGTTGGTTTTTTAATTGTTTGCCTTGCTTGACACATTATTGGGGTATGCAGATGCTGAAAGAGTGAAATTGGTGTGTGTACATAATGTTTCTCCACTGTGGTGTTTGGTAGATGTGTTAATTACAACTTCCATCACCTTTAACCAGCACAGCCAAGAATGTTTAGATTGACACATTTGGAAGGCTACAGAGTTGGATTTGCTCAGTATGCTAAACTTGGCTAAAACATAGTTGGGTAGTTTGTGGTTAAGCATATTTAAGAGCTCAGCCAGTCTATCATGTTACGTGAGGCTATAATGTACCTTATTTGAATGCATGTCATGAAATGTGTACAGCAGTCATTCAAGGCTGAGCAAGTTGGATAATCCAGCCAGTATTTTCTGTTCTCCCATCAATGTTTTGCTTAATGTGCAGACATGGATATGATCCATCAATTTCTCAGAGTTCTCAACTGTACAGGTGAAACTCGAAAAATTAGAATATCGTGCAAATGTTCATTTATGTCAGTATGGC